GGAAGAAATTTTCTCAGCCTACATTAAAAAGTCTAAGCATTGATGTTAGTGGACATTAAATATCAAGGGACATTTATTACCAGTTCATGGAACACCTTCTGATGGACTTTTTTCTATATCATTATTATTCTATTTTGTGTGAAGCAATATCAAGTATACGGCACGCTCTCTGAGAAGTTTCGCGCGCTCACGAACACAAAACGTACGCGCGCACGGCGACTAGTTAACTTTCTACGAGGTGATCGCAGCAAGAGCAACAACGACGCTAACAACGACCACTTTCCCTGAAGCTTCGTTTGCTTCGCATGAACTGAAACCACGAAAAATATATGAAATTTTTATCTAAGAGAAAACGTAACTTTAATGAAGACCTTAAATTAATTTTACTGAGACTAAAGTGAACGCTCAAATCCTGTTATGCTTATGAAGGTAATGTGAATCGATATGAATCTCAGTTTATGATTATAAGCTACGGTCCTAGTTATTTGTTGATTGATTACGGTTCGTTCCTTTCCAGTATAATTTGAACGAATTTGTTCATTCAATCTTTTATGCGGGACAATTTTCCTCTTGGATAACAGCGACTTAAATGACTCGAAATTCTTTGGTAAAAAAATTGTTTTGCAAAAAGGAAGTTAATTTTAAAAATTTGCTCATCTCATTCCACTGACATTTCTATTGTTGATTTTGGTGCATGAAACCCCTCTGTTTTGACAGAGAATTTACAGTCGTCAAACAGCTAAAAGTTTTGATTGCCGATGCTATTCTTATTTATAATATAAATCTGCACAGCCTTATCTTCGGATTTTCTACGCGCTATTTCATATCAGAAGCAAGTATTCCCAACAATGCCCCTAGCAAGAAATTTTTCACTAGTTCAATACAAGTTTTCTTTAAAACTTTCTCTCGAAATTGCAATTGTTCGCATGAAGCATCATGGAGCTTCACGCTTCACACGTCAGCAATTTCCGTTTCACTTTTGGAACGTCGAAGAAGTAGACAATCAGATCGCCCACGCCATTTAAATGGCTTTTGTGCAAAGTTCTTAACTAGGTCGTGCACAACTGTTATTGCATAAATTACGCCGTCGAATAGTTCAATACCTTGAAAAGATGTTTTAAATTTACGGTGGTGTATGGAAATGTCAATCAGTGATTTATGTACAAGAAAAATATTTTTCACCTGAGCAAAGGAGAAGTACGTACCGTGAGGCTGGATATCGTTGATTGAAAATTGCACAAAATCTGTTCGTATGGTTAGGCAATGGCCAATATAGAGGGAAATTATTTAAATATGAATTCATTTTTTCATTCATAAAATATTTAAAACTTTTCGCACGAATTTTTTTAGTTCAAGATTACAGTATTAGTTGGTTGTTAGCAGTTGAATAACTTCTGCACGTTTATTCGGATGTAATAGTTTCAATATAAGTGGTATTCCTCAACTTGAGCTCACTACCGTAGTTCGGATCACCACTTGTTTATGTAATGTTCGTGCAAGTCCCCGGTGAATGGGAAAGCGACAGCTGAGTAATCAGTGGTGAAATTATTAACCTTTTTCGTTCACATAGCAAAAAATGCTACGGCACTCGCTACTTCGCTAGGCCTGGTGACAGCCGATTTCGAGGCTCAAAGATTCAAAGTCATCGAAGGGAAGACATCAGATCCTTACCCAACTTTCTTCTTACCCTCGGGTTATAGAAAAGGAAAGCATGCATGGCAAGGCAGGCTACCTGCGTTGTGCCCGGCAAGGTTAGGTATAGCACGCGTCAGGTCGACCGGCTGCTAAAAACTTGCTCCCATCTCAGGCTAAGAGGAAAGTCGACCTGACAACTTTTCATTTTATCCCAAGTGCAACCACTGAAAAGATGGGCGTTTCCTGTTATGAATGACATATCTTGCGCACTACTTTTCTTTTTTTTCACGATTGTTACTTTGAACGAAAAAAAATCATACGTTCTCACTTGGCTGGCTTATAGTTATATACTACATCAACATCAGCCCGATAATCATGCTAATCTTGTTCACGAGCCTGAGTCCAGCGATATAAAAGCGAATCAAGGTTATTGTGCATGATATTTAAAGTTCAGTTTGTTTCCTATAGGCTATAGCGTGAACAGACTACAATTTATTATATGAGGATGCCTGCGTGTGGACTTGTCAAAGGCTGCGTGTGAACTTATCGAAGGCTGCGTGCGGACTTATCGAAGGCTGCGTGTAGACTAGTTAAAGTCTGCGTGTGGACTTGTCAAAGTCTGCGTGTGGACTAGTCAAAGTCTGCGTGTGGACTAGTTAAAGTCCTGTCTCTTANATACAAATATGTATATAAACTGTCTCTTATACACATCTAGATGTGTATAAGAGACAGGCGGTAGACTTGTCAAAGTCTGTGGTTGGACTTGTCAAAGTCTGGCGCGGACTAGTCATAGCCTGCGTGTGGACTAGTCAAAGTCTGCGTGTGGATTTGTCAAAGTCTGCGTGTGGATTTGTCAAAGTCTGCATGTGTATTTGTCAAAGTCTGCGTGTGGACTTTTCAATATCTGCGTGTAGATTTATTTGACCAATTCGCGCGGATTTATTTTCCCCTGTTTATGAACCTCGAGGCTGCTTCATTGGCCAACTTTCTGTCCAGTTTCTGACGCGGGAACTCTCTTGCTTGCGGCAGTGCTCCACAATTGTTCCAGACATCACAGGCGTTAGGCTGATGCGCTTCTTCTTTAACATCAATCAACTCTCGGCGTAAAAACTGGCTTTTTACGTTCATAATTTACATGCTAACATTATTTAGCCATCTTAACCTCCATGTTAATGGTCTTCATTTCCCTAACGTGTACGCCAGCCTTATTTACCTTAGGACGGTCAAAGAAAAAAAAAACTTGTTTTCTGCTCTCAAATTTATCACTTTATTTCCAACGAATTCATGTTAATCCCAACCACCCAGATACAATGTAAATTCCCAACCACCAAGATAATGTACTTTAATTTTCCAGTCCTGAGTTGACCTTATTCTGGTCTCAACTACTTCACTTTACTATATTAATCGTCCGACAAAAACAGACTCTTTTACATTGCCCAATTAACATTGAATAACTTCCATGCTAACATGGTTGTAATCTCATTAGATCCCGTTGCATTTAGTTTCATTGCTACTTAGGTTTACCTTGAAACAATTAGTTCTTCATTCTACCGCTGAACTGCTTTGACTCGATTTCCGCGATTCAGAAGAGTCCCTGTCAACCGAATGACTTCCTCAGTGTGAGATACGTTTTTGGCACATTTCTTTGTCCACCGAAATAATAGATTTACTGTGACGTAGTTTCCGCCTCCATTGTCCGCTACAGGGACAATAATTCGATGCTGAATTAAAGGAAACCATCAGCACATAACTACCCAGTCGATTGTTCTTGCGCCGTCTTCGGAACGCTTGCGGGGAGAAAACGATATTATTCTTGAATTTCCTGCAGCCGGTGCATTGTGGTCTTGTGAGCGATCGCGACGTGCGCGCCGGTAGAAATGTTTATTTTGCCTCACGTATCAACAAACGAGCTAACTTATCCCTTTGTCTGCTATGCATGGGAATATCTGCTTCGTTTCGATTACAGATAATTGCTTATTCATCCTGCCGACAGGTGCGAACTATATCAAGAGTTTGCAAAAATGTAAATATTATTTGATTAAATACGAAACTTATTTCCGAGGTTCTTGTCGCCGTGGTGTTAAATGAGACGTAAATGGTGTTGTAGATTTTATTGACTTTTTTGCTATCCATGCATCGGGACGTTTATTGTTCAGCGCCTCGTAACTTTATTGCCGAAGATATGATGCTCTTATACTTAACACTAGCGTGGGGTCCAGCGGTTATAATTAGTCGATTGTTTCTCTCATTAGTCCAATGACTGCATCGCGTGAACCATGTTGCAATTGAACAAAAACTGCTTGAGTGAAGAAACCTCATGCGTGCGATTATGCCGATCACGAATCTATATTTGAAATATCGTTCTTCCTATTGAAGAAATGACCTACAGTGCTAACGACCTAGTGGTTGCGTCCTGTTATTATCAAAGGCGTTGTATTTTAAGACCATGAAAATAACCTGGAGGCCAAACGAGGCTAGCCAAGCACAGCGACTTTTTCTATTCATGAACAGACTCTAAAATCCTATTTTTGTAATCTTGAATGTTGGAGAACCGCTTTTTTTTCTTTCTGGAGGTTAAGCCAGACGTTGAAGCAACAAATTAATTTTACGTTTGCATATATAATTTATTTTTCGTCATCTCTAAATTATCCCTGCCGTTACTGTACATTAAATTTTCCTTTCGTGTTTTCAAATTTTGGGAGTCAATTGCACTAAGTTAGGATACCAAAGTTGGATTACTTGTAATATAGAAATGGCCAACGCCGTCTTTTATTTGAACAGATATATTTTGCGATTATTCATTGAATAACATTTCATAATATGTAAACTCGCTTCTTTTTCCTTTGCCAACAAATTCGCTTTTTGCCGTATATTCGTATACAGGAGTATAGTAAATATATAAAGGTATTGTTTGTAGTCGGGGAGTCAATTCACTGAATCGATATTGTGGTAGATGACTGACAAATATTTGAACTCTGTAAACTGATTCGCAATAACTTTGAACTTTTTTCAGAACTATGAGCGAAATTGCCCGAAGATGAACAAGCGCTGATGCCGACGGCAACACTTGATCCCCTTCCCCACATTGCCAGAGTCTGGAGTTTATTTCTTGAACACTTTCTCTTTTTGACGCTCATCCCTCTATTACTATCTAAACTTTAATTTCTATAAGACTTCTTTTTTCTTTTTATGGAAAATTTCATCAAATCGTTGCTATTTCCCCCTTTTTGAGATTTAATCACTCGTTTGAATGTTCTTTGCGTTACGCCTACAACAAATATCTAATCTATCTGTATCTATCTAATATCTAATCTATCTATATCTATAAATATCTATCTTATCTTGTTATCTAATTTTGTACTGCCTATTTGCAAGGATATATAAGAGCAATTTTGATGTAAAACACTTCATGTTAGTTCACTTTTCTTCCATTATCTTCATTGTTCTCGGTTCCTGGAGTTAGATTTTTTTTTGACCGCCGGCCTGACACTCTATACAAAAATATAGGAGTAAATGAAGAAAAATATTTTCTTCCTATGGTTCATATAAGAGTGCTCACTATTTTCCCTCCTTCGCAGAGATCGGCTCGATATATTTTAGTAGTGAAATTTTACGATTTATCTACAACTCGTGGCCCCACTAATTGCTATGAATCAGATATTTTGTTATCTATATGACTAGTGAGCCAATTTTATATTAGAAAAAAATATTCACCGATGAAATGGTGCATTTTTGATCAAAGGTGCATATTTTTGTAAATAGCTTTAGGTTGTAGTTTGTTTTAATTGTAACGAAGTGATTTCTCCTAGTCAAAATGAGAATGTTAGCCCAAGAATCATGTATAGAAAACGTGACTGAAGAAGTCACAGAAAAACTTATAGAATCTAGCTGTAACTCCTTTATTAGTTTGATCGACGAAGTAGAGGCTATTCCGAAACTTCATGGAAGAGGTTTTAAAGGCTCTTCTGATGTAAAGAAGAGCTCAAATATAAAGGGCTCTATTAAATTGAAATCTATGGGCGAGATTCGATCAGAAATTTTGAACCACGATCTTCGTGAAAATAAACTAACACATTTAACCGGATTGTCCAACGATCCACGGAAGACAATTAATCGGTGTGGTAAAGAAGAAAAAGTCTTCATTCGTCAAACACAATCAATTGAGACATCTGCCAATCGATATGATGTGAAAACAATACAGTCAATCAGAAAAAATAGAGAAGTGAATGATGATGAGCCGAATGTCGTGACGTCTGCCACTGGCACCACGCCGCTTGTCCATTCAGATTGTCGCATATCTGCTATTGCGCAAGTCATTCATCATATCAAGGACAAATGTGGGAGTAAACATTTGTGGGATTTTCTAACTTTTATGTATTTTTTCAAGTTTCTCAACTTCCTTAGCTCTCGAACTCCACTCAAAACTCTCCCAAACTCTCAACCTCCTTCACATGCTCATAAATTCAGCCAACTACAAACACGCGATCACAACAACAATTCCAAGTCCTCCCAAAATACGGAGACTGAGATCAAGTCTTCACCTGATGAAATCCACGCTACGTTGTCTTCGCGGCGAACGTCTACCAAGATGAAGAGTGGGAAAGCGACGCTAGGAAACATTATCAAGATTTTGCTGTCTACCTCCATGTTCTTTTGCTCTATTTCTTCCTCAAGCGGTCAAAGTGAGTACATGTAGCTTTGTTCTGCTCGGCTGAGGTAGAGTACCTCGAAATGTTTCATTGCTGATGACCTTGTAGCTTTAAAATTCAGCTTCCAGTATTTTAATCCTTTTTGCATCTGTTCTTGTGCTTAGTTGCTAGTGGAACTAGCTGCTTAACTGTTTAGAACTAGAAAATGTAAGAGTTCTTCTTCACTAATTATTTTATAATGGTTGGCATGCTTTTTATAGAGGTAAATATTCCAGTTATATTGCTTTAAAATAGTTTTGTGTGAAATTCTGGTTACCGAGAATAAAAGTTAGTTTTTTTTATTTGCTGGTGAATGGTGTAGCGTATTGAATAATAATTATAATGCACGCATTCTAAAAGTATTCAACGTAAGTTACCGTATATGTGTGTACAGGTGCTCAAAACTCTTTGTGCTACTTCAATGGTTGTTCTAAGACATTTTTGGATGACCTACTGTAAATTCCTGACAATTGTACATAGCTCAATGAATTGTCAATAAAGTGCGCTAGAAGTGCTGCATACCATCGGGTGAACCTATCTCTGAGCGCTACGTTTGCATTGTATACTGTCACACCAAAGAAAAATTCATTTCCTTGACAGGGCGTGAAGATTCTAAACACAGCGTAGTGACTACAGGTTAGTGTTCATTTCAACCTCTCGAACATTTAACTTCTTAAACATACTGAGGGAAACGGGTTCCATGAACAGCAGGATAACCTTCTCGAAGTTCGCACTTGTATGTGTGAGATCATGAACGATGATGTGCATGGTTGCACGAAGCACTGAATGATTTTTTCGAAAACTGCTTGATTTATGAATCGCCTTGCGATTTGCGAGCATTTGAAAATCCGTTCAATAAATATCCAGCAAAAAGATTAGATTCTATGGTCTCGTTAAGAAACTTTTGAGAATGGATTTCACACTCATTATTTTTGTAAAAATAGTTTCCCTTGCCTTGAACGGGGGCTCACAATAAATTTATTTGCTTCTTAAATACATTTGTGCATACATTATTTGCAAATGTTTGCATTTCGCTAATTTCTTGATACTTTCACATAGTTTTCGTGCACAGTGAACTCCCAAATTTTTATACGTTTTTCTGAATTATCTCGGCATTTACATGCATTCGACTACTTGATACAAGTGAACAGTAATTTTTTTTTATAACAAGAGATGCAATTTTTTTACTTCTTTCGCTCTACATGTACTGTGCTGTTGCATTTGGTTTTACCTGCTGAGGAAAATTTCTCGACGATTACTTTTGACTTGCCATATTCATTAAATTTCTGTTTACTCTTAGATAAAATTATGGAGATATAATGTTCTTATTCGTTTAAAACAAATTCCATTGTGCATGCCCTAATTTATAATCATTTACAGCTTCACCTGTTTAATCTAATCTCAATCATTCAACTCTGTAATTAAGTAGGTTTTCTCCGAACTGGTTAATGGATTTGCAAGTCTTTCTACCGCCTGTTCTCAACTAGATGACAGAAATATGTACATCCGAAAATATAAACCCGGCTTTCTTTCTCCGAAAATTCAACTGCAATATAATTCACCAATTGATATATTGTTGTAATTTCAGTATGAGCCATATCAACATTCCTCATGAACATTCCATGGAACATTCCCCGTGAACATTCCATGGAACAATCCTCATGAACATTCCATGGAACATTCCTCTGGTACTTCGCTCCTCTACCGCCATATGGCGTCATCAACTGACGCCATCTTATCGAACTTTTTCATAAAGCATTAACATCGAGCATTCCTCCTTTCGCTCATTTCTCTCGCCCATTTCTATCGCTCATTTCCCCTCGATCATTTTCCTCACTCATTTCCCTTCGCTCATTTCCCTTCGCTCATTTCCCTTCGCTCATTTCACCTCGCTCATTTTCCCTCGCTCATTTTCCCTCGCTCATTTTCCCTCGCTTATTTTCCCTCGCTCATTTTCCCTCGCTCATTTTCCCTCGATTATTTTCCCTCGCTCATTTTCCCTCGCTCATTTCTTCTCGAGCATTTCCCCTCTCACGTTCTCCTAACCGAAAGCTCCCCTCACCGNCCCCACGCCGCTCATTTCCCCCCACGCCGCTCATTTCCCCCCACGCCGCTCATTTCCCCCCACACCGCTCATTTCCCCTCACCGCTCATTTCCCCTCACCGCTCATTTCCCTCAATGCTCATTTTCCTCACTGCTCATTTATCCCCACGCCGCTCATTTCTCCTCGCCGCTCATTTCCCACGCTCACGCTCGAAAGCTGTAGCGAATATCGCGCTTGTGCCGCAGTCGAGAGCGGCGGTTGGCTGCTCCGCAATCTGCTCAGCCTTCCGTCCGAGTGCAACAGCGAAGGCACTCTGTCCCCCTGCACATTCCTGCTCACGTGTCTCATACAAGGCGGTGAGTAGCTCTGTCTTCCTGCTCATGTTTAGGAAGCTCGTTAATCCCTATTGTATCCTACACTGTATGCGTTATATGACACAAAAGCCAACGATCATCAATTTGTTCTGCACCAAACGCTTCGTCGTTCGAAGCATGTCTGATGTCACTTGTGTAACAGGGACACCAGTTAACAAGTGTGGCGGAGGTTATATCTACACGTGCTGTGTCCCATCACACGTCACGTCACGAGGTGTCATGAGCGTCAGGAGCGACTTGAAGGCCTCAGGTCCTACACTTCGCCATATCGGCGGGCTGTTTAGAGACGCTCCAGCCTCCGTTCTTGGTGAGACTTAAGACTCGCCACATCGGCGGGCTGTTTAGAGACGCCCCAGCCTCCGTTCTTGGGGAGACTGCGACAACTGAGAACTAATGCGTCGTTTTAGGCTTCGAGGTATAATATTCAAACGAGTGCCAATGATAACCTACGACCAGTCTGCGTTATAGGGGAATTTATTTCAAAAAGTTGGATCTAACATGTACGAAAAATAGCTGCAACCAAGGATCTCAAAACCATATCCCTGAACTTATATTCACTGATTGATACCTAACAACCTTCATCCTAAGTGATCTTAATTTACGAGTATTCTCCCTCGTTCTGGTGTGACCGTTGATATTTTTCCTGGAGAAATTTTGAAGAAAAATCGTTCGTACGCGTTTAAGGAACGACAAAAGATGAACGCTCTGAAAAGTGAGAAATCAATTGTGGTCTCATCGAGTCCAGGCCGATGACTTCAAAAATTCTAGAGTTACGCCGGCTGAAATCTATGCAAAACTTTAATACTTTTGCATTTGACGCCCCACGGCGTTCAGCAAATCACAAATGTCCATTTGAGACCATGCTGAAGCATCAATTAAATTTGTTATACTGTAATTAGGTTGTTGGAAGAATGTACGTGTAGTGGTGGTGGTGGTAGTAGTAGTGTTCGTGGGTGTTATAACTTCAAGTAGCTAATTCTTCAAACTGAAGCTTTACCAATATCCGTTTTTTATGTATTCCACTTTTGTGTTGCCTTTTTTCTTGTGTCTGTATGGCTGTAGGTGTTTTGAACTTATGAATCTTACTCATTGATAGTACCTTACTTCAATGTATGGGAGGATTTAATCTAACCCCGTGTGATCAATACTTGTCCGTAGTGAGTTACTTTTTAGTATTGAAATTATCTATAATATTTATATATAAAATTGTAGAATTTCGTTTAATTTAGGTGCGTCGAACCAGCTTCTGCCGCCGCACTTGCGATCGGCAGAGGCGCCTTCTCCTTCACCAGTTCCTTGGTTCCCGGACGGTGCGCTGAGTTTGCTTGCGTGTTGTTTATTTGCACTAAAGGAATAAGTACTTTTATGGGAGTATTAATGGTAGTGTACAGTGGGTGTCATGGAGGGGCCCATTGTTGAAGTCCATTGGTTTAATCGTACTTTATTGTATGGAATCTTAGATCGCATTTAACAATGATGAGTTATTAATTATATGCCTGATTTTACTTTGAGAAATTAACAGATAATTTATAGGCAGATCCTGTTGAGTATACGGACGACAAAATAATATTGAATACTGATGATACCCGTTGTATAACGTATAAAAACTAGATAAAATTTCACTTAGCATATAATTAATAATTGTATAAAATTCATATAAAGGCAATGTATAATGCTTCTCATTAAGAACGGAAATAACGTTAATTTTCATTCCTGTCCTGAAAAATCGTGATGCTTTCGTTCCTATCCAATTGATAATCATGTCTGTAATTAGATAAAATAAACAATAATAATCTGTCAACGAATGCATTAACCGTCGTAAAGACTATTTTAAATGAAATCTTGATTACCAGTTACCACCTCGATTAGACGATTACTAAATATCGCCTTAATTACTAGACTGCCGGTACGCAAATAACTAACAAAGAATATATCCATCTGTACGATTATTAACGCTAATTAAATTTCAGGGGCATGGCCAGGCATAGACCCCCGTTCGCCTCTGGTTGGGGGTGACCCCAGCCCGCCCCATCCCCCCGCGGGGTACGAGGACGAGTTCTCTAGTAACGGTATAGGGGGCGCCGCCCCCTACCTCAGCGCTGACGCCTACCGGGGCTCCGGCCCCCTCTCCCGCGAGGCGCTCTCCCGCTCCCATACCGACGACAACGAGATATATTACAACGAACCTGGTGTGTGGTGGTATAATGGCTGGTGTGTGCTGGTATAATGGCTGGTGTGTGCTGGTATAATGGCTGGTGTGTGAGGGTATAATGGCTGGTGTGTGAGGGTATAATGGCTGGTGTGTGAGGGTATAATGGCTGGTGTGAGGGTATAAT